CGGGCCCCGGGCACGGTCGGTGCGAGCGGAGCGTCCTCGGAGTTCTTCTCTGCGGCCTCCTCCGCCGCTGGGGTCGGGGACGGAGCGGGTGCGGGGGCTGCAGCCGTCTTGGTGCACTTGATGCTGCTGGTGGCGGCCTTAGCTGCGGTGGGCACCGGGCTGATCTCGGCGAAGGTGCCGTGCTGGGTCTGGTGGGGAGTCACGGAGGGATGTGTTTGCAGCCCAGGTGTATCCGTTACCGCAGAATCATAGAAGGGCCGGGGTTGAAAGGGATCTTAAATCTCGTTCGAAATCATCTCCCATGGGCAGGTTGCTCAGAGCCCCATCCAGCCTGGCCATGAACACTTCCAGTGATGGGGCAGCCACAGCTTCTCTGGGCAACCTGTGCCAGGGCCTCCCCACTCTCACAGGGAAGAATTTTTTCCTCCTATTTAGTCTAAACCTGCCTTCTAATACGCTTAAGTCATTCCCCTTTGTCCTGTTACCCCACACCCTTGTAAATAGTCTTTCTTCATCTTTCTTGTAGACCCCCTTCAGATGCTGGCAGGTCACAACTACTGATCCTGAAGCATTCTCTTCTCCAGGCTGAATAGTTTCAATTCTCTCAGTCTTTTCTCATAGGAGAGGAACTCTCATTATCTTGGTGGTCTCTGGACTTGCTCCAACAGCTCCATGTTCTTCCTGTGTTGGGACCCCATATCTGGGCAGAGCACTTCAGGTGGGCTTTCACCTGAGCAGAGCAGAGGGGCAGAATTGCTTTCTTCACCTGCTGTCCATGGAGCTTTGGGCACAGCCCAGGGCACAGAGGATTTCTGGGCTGCCAGCACAGCTGACAAAGCAAAGATTTATAACTGAGACTGTGGTAGGTACAGGATTATTTGTGACTTGTTTAAATCTGCTGCTGCACCAAAGCCAGTAAGGTGCTGGGTTCCATCATCAGACATGACCAGCAGAGCTAAAGAAGGCATTGTGCCCCTTGGCACTTCTCAGGTCACATCCAGAATTCTGTGTTCAAGTTCTGGTTCCTGCTGTACAAAACAGATGTGGACGGGCTGGAGAGGGTCCAGAGAAGGGCCACAAGGATGTCCAAAGAATAGGAAACTGCCCTGTGAGGAAAGGCATAGGGAGCTGGGTTTGTTCCTCCTTGAGGAAAGAAGGCTCAGGGGAGACCTTATCCTCATGTTCCAGTGTTAAAAAGGTGGCTACAGAGAAGATGGAGATTCTGTTTTTACAAGAAATCACAAGCTAAAGATAAAGGGTAATAGATACAAGTTATTCCTGGGGAGATTCCACTTAGATACAGGAGGAGAATTTTCCTCAATGAGAACATTCAACCACTGGAATAATCCCCCCACAGAAGTTGTGGATTCCCACTTACAAGATGTGGCTTCACAGAGTGCTGAGCCACCTTGTATGTACAATGCTTTTGCCAGGAAATGTTGGGCCAGGTGATCTTTGAGGTCCTCTCCAACCAGGTGGCATGTGATGCTATGAAATTGCCATATGTGCTTTTGGAAAGAACTTTTTAGGAATAGTTTAGAAATCCAACTTTGTTTAACCCTTGTTTTTTTCAGTCCCGTATCTAAATGTATGTTAATTGGCTGAGTTTTTTTTTTAATCAGAAATGTTTGGGGTTTTTCTCCATTTTGTAGATGTCCAAGTCTTCAGCGTCGAAAATGTCATCCCAGGCGGAAATACTGAGCGATGGCCGGTTCAGCTGCATCGCCAGGGATCCCAGGTTTTGGGAGATGCCTGAAAAGGAACGTAAAGTCAAGATTGACAAGCGATTCCGAGCCATGTTCCATGACAAGAAGTTCAAGCTGAGATACACAGTGGATAAAAGAGGCCGCCCTGTTAACTACACCTCTACGGAGAACCTCAGGAAGTTTTATGCCTTGTCGGAATCTGACTCTGATCTTTCAGAAGGTGATAGTAAAGAACTCACGGTAAAGAAAAAAAAGAAGAAGAAAGCTAAAGGTAAAGGAGAAGCAGATTCTGCAAAGGCTGTTGCTGGTGGCCTCCCAAAGGAGGAGAGCAAAAAAAACCAACAAGGGGTGGACCAAACATGTGAAACACCGACTAAACTAAATGACCTTAAAAAAGGAGGACAAAAAAGTAAATCTAAGTTGAGCTTGAAAGAGGACTCACAGAAACCTGCAGTGGAAGTTGATCACTCTCGGGGAAACAAGGGCCTTTTACCCAAAGGGGAGAACAAGCGGGGAGCTGTGTCAGGGGGAAAATCCATTTCTGTTCAAAACAAGGAAAAGTCTTCACAAGTGACTGCTACGAAGTCAGTCAAAGCTTCCAGGAGGGACCACTCCCTAGGAGGGAAAACAAAAGAATCAGGTTAGTTGTTCAAGTAACAAGGAGAATTCAGCTGTGTTAATTTGGATATTGATGCTTGTCTTATTCATGAAAGATATTTTGCAACATTAGTTATAAAATAGCTGACTGACTCAGACTCAGTGCTGCTGAAGGATTTGAGTTGGTCAGCTCTGTATAGAATGAGTTCTGATTCTTCAGTAAGATGATGAATATCCCTGTCCTTTTAATTGTTGGTGCTGAAACTATTGGTAAAATTTATAACAGGATATACAGTGCTGTATTTATCAAACTGAACAGCAGATGTGTGAACTGATACCATGAAGGCACATCACAGCTTGTGGACTGAAACTGTAAACATGGCAGCATTAAGCCATTAATATTAGAGAGGATTAGGAAAAACAGGTAGCTTGAAGAAAAACTTTATTTATATTGCTCATGCATGTGTATAGCCTCCACTATTAAATAGATTTCTAGCTGTTGGCTCTGTAATATAAATAAAATAACAGGATATTCAGTTGCAGTTGAGATAGATAATGCAATTTTGGTCCTAAAGTGTAATTCAATTAGATTAGACCAGACAAACAAAAGAGGCAACTCTGATATTTTTTGTAATTTGCTCCTGCATCATTACACCTTTCAGGAGTCCTGTAAATAGGTATGAAAAAGCCCTGAAGTCTTCCTTTTTGTAAAGGGTCATGTGTAATTCTAATATAAAAATGTATCTAATGTTCATCTTTCTGTGCTCAGCCATTTGTGACCAAAGTGTAAAATGTAAAAGCCAGTTAGAGGAAGAAACCTCTGCAGGTGAGAATGCGGAATCGGAAGAAGAGGAATCAGAAGATGATGGAGAAACAGGCGAGGAAGAGGAGCCAGATGATGAGGAAATGAGTGAAGATGACAGTGATTCAGAAGATGATGAAGAAAGCGATAGTGGGCCTGATCTAGCCAGAGGCATAGGGAACATTGAAACGAGTTCAGAGGATGAAGAGGATTTAAATGAGCTGTTTCCAAAGGAGCCAGAGATCGAGCACTTGTGGCGTGAGCTGGATAAAGATGCCCCTCGTGGAGATGAGGTAACAATACTTTGCATGTGAAAAGTTGCTACATGACAAACTCAGAAATGTTACCTACGGATAAGCTGTCTACAGGTGAAAGGACAAACAAAATTGAGCCTTTCAGAAATTCCAGAATTTAAATAGTACTGGTTTTATTCATTACTGATTTTTTTCACTTTTCAAAAATTTAGTTTTTTAACTCATACTTTAAGAAGTTAAGGCATTGTGATACAGTGAATTAGGGCTTTACAACTAGCACAATCAGTGTGTAAGGAATCACAGCACTCTAGTGCTGTCACAATAGTGATAGTGGTTGCTCCTGGAGCTAACAGTGTTTGATGAAACAAAACTAAATCTGTGATTGGTGCAGTCCATTCTGTGGTGCTTCACTATTTATGTTCTTTTTATGTGTTCTGGTAATTGCTGCTTCTCTTCTTTGTTAGTTTAAGTGATGGAAAGTCATGATGACAGTGCTGCTGTTATTTTTTTCAGTTTATTGCTGACTTTGATTTTTACCACTGAATTCTGCTAGAGAATTGTGTATTCCCCACAACAGTCAACAGTTAAATCTATGAATTTTATCTTTTTTTCTTTCAGATTACAAGTAGATTGGCAGTTTGTAATATGGATTGGGATAGGTTGAAGGCTAAGGATTTGCTGGCTCTATTTAATTCTTTCACACCCAAAGGAGGAACAGTGTTTTCTGTTAAGGTAAGAAACTCCTGGTTTCTAAAAGGAGTACTGGCTTTTACTGTTAAAAAAATAGGCTACAAAATAAGAAGTCAGACAGTGCTGTAGGGAACCAAAATACATATTAATGTATTTAAAGAGAAACCGTGTTGCAATGTAATTTGCTGTGGCAGGCGTGTATTTGGCAGAGCTAGAGGCCAAAGCCATTGACTTCCCATGTTTATGAGGTTGTCTTTCAGTGCTGGTTTTCTGAGACTAATACTGAAGTTTTCATTTCTAGTAGGAGGAGACTACATTTCCTTGATTAGTTTAATATTCAGTGGTCTGTATGACAAACAAACCAACCTAAGCCCCAGCCTTAGACCTTACTAATATTTAGCCAATTCTGGCCAATTAAGTTATATTTTTCCATTATCAGTGTCTGTCTCAGCTCTTTGAGAAATTTTAATCAGATACCTCTTTCTGAAAAGGGCCACAGTACAATGAACAAAGTCAGGGTTCCTGTTATTTTTTATTTGCCTGAAAATTCCTGCCAGGCAGTTTTGTTATTGTACTTTCTTTTCCACACATTAAAATTAGGAAGGTATTAAAGTTTATGGAATGGATCCCTTTACTGATCTTAAATAAAAACTGTAAAGATTAAAAGCCTAATTTTTTCTTACCTAGTGTACATTACACCACAGTTAAAAATTTAGTTTTGTGTTGTTTTATTTGTAGATTTATCCTTCAGAGTTTGGAAAGGAAAGGTTGAAAGAGGAAGAACAAAAAGGACCTGTGGAACTGTTTGATCTTCCAGAGAACACCACAGAGGATGATGGGTATTAATTTTAATTTTGTCTTCAAATGAAAGATATGTTAATTATATGAATTAACAATAATAATAATAATAATTATATGTTAATTAAATGAAAGCTATATTAATTCTTAGTGGAAGTCCCAATCAACTCCTATTTCCAGGAGTTCATATGTGGAAGCATCCTGTGGACACCTTAATTTTTTAGGTTTTTTTTTCAAAGGTTGTTTTACAACAGGCATTGTAATGACAGTTCATTATCAGTGCATTTAATAAATGTATTATGATGAAACTTGAAAAGATTTGCTTGTTGGTAAGAGTTCAAAGCTTTATGATGTAGCTCATTGGAATAATCAATGGCACAAGTACACGGGTAGCTTAAAAACCAGTATTTCTTCTCTACAAGTTGCCATTTGTGCAGTAAACTCTTTAGTACTCACTGTCAAAATCCTCATCTGTGAATCAACAGGGACCTTAGTCCAAGAATTTCTAGACTGAGATTTCTTGAGTGCCACAAGAAATAGCCCTGGCCTAGGCTGAGCTCCTCAGTCCTACCATTGCCCTGGCTTCTTCAGGCATCTCTTTTTTGCCTTTTTTAAACTTTTGTTTGTGGTTTTACTTTGATATTTTTCCACCATTTCTAGATGTTTGTAAGCCTGACTGGGACCATATTTGTATAATGCATCCTGCTGGACTGCCCTGTGCTTAGAAAATCTAGATGCTTCTAAAATCAGGGGAGATCCCTTTGAGGACATTCTCTAGTGCCTCAGGAGGGTGTAAGGTGAACATAGAGCACATTCTAAGGTCACCTGCACTGTGAGCATCAAGGTGCATCCTGAAGTGTTGGATTTGCTGCTCAGTGGGCTTGGAAGCATCTGGAATCCAACACACAGAAATGCAGGTATCCCAGAGGTACCTCAGTGATACCTGTGTCCTTCAGATTCACTGAACCTCATCCCTGTGACCTCTCAATGGAGTCATGTACAAATTTTACACTTAATTAAACTATCTGAAATAATCTTTTTGCTTGAAGAAAATACTGGTAGAACTTTGTGCTGTTTAACATCTAATCTTACAAGATTAGAAGAGTGGTTGATTGGCACAGTTGAATTACAAGATTTTGTGAATAAAACGCTCACCTGCCTGTTCTTTTCTCCACTTTTGCAGGATTTATAGGGAAAAACTGCGGGAATACCAGTTTAAGCGACTAAAATACTTCTATGCAGTTGTGGAATGTGATTCTCCTGGTACAGCAAATAAAATTTATGAGGAATGTGATGGACTGGAATTTGAAAGCAGCTGTTCTTTCATAGACCTGAGGTAACTCCACTGGTGATATTTTTGCATGTTGGGCCAGGGAAGGTGAATTAAAGTCATAATAATTCGGAATAAACTATATTGACCTTTTATTCTGTACCTAAAAGAAGATACAAAGATAAATTTGTCATCTGGTGAGTTGTTAGGCTTCCCTTTGGTTCTTCTTTCTTCTTTTTGACTATTTTTATTGTAATATGGAAAGTTCAAGAGGCTCTCTGCATGGAGTCTGTTTTCAGAAAAGCCAGATAAAAAGTTCTGATTACATCTTCAAGGTTTTGGTACAATTAAGTAAAGTGATAGGATTCAGAAAACAAAACTTTTTTCTTTTTCTCTCCCCAAGGGTCCAAAAGTGAGTCTTTTTCATGGTTCCTTACCACAGGGCAAAATTATTGCTGCCGTTGTCATGAAGTTGCAATAGATGTGTTGGTCCTTGTGAATAAGCTGGATGCTCTGATATTTCAAAAGTCATGTTTGGGGAAGAAAGGATTTTAAATTGTGGTTTGCTTTATTGTTAGTATTTCCTTTTGTTGCAAAAAACCCCTTTCATTCTAACCAGAAAAGTTATTAAATCATAAAGGGTTGTGACAAAAGCCCTGTTTGTCTGCTGGGGTCTCTGTTACGGACATTCTTGGAAGTCAGTGAAAGTTTTTTGCTTTGTGTAATTTTCTAGAGGAACTCAGTGAATTTGCTTTGAACTATTTTGGAAAAGACATCTTTGCTAAGAGAACATGTAACTTTTCATCATTTTATACACTGATAATGTTTTACAACAAACACAGCTGTTTGGAATTCTCCAGTGATTTTCTTAATCTTCTGCTTTATTAAATTTTAATGTTGAATACTATTTATCAGATTACATTTGCAAAGATATAAAAAATAATCACAAGTAATTTCTTATGTATTATACCAAGTTTGTTTTTTTGTTTTTTTGTTTTTTTAAATTAAGTTCTTCAATTGTTACTCATTACTTTGGTCTTTTTTCTTTTTCTTCTCCCCTTACTAATTATAATTTTCAGGATGTACCAGGCTTTCCTAAAAGGTTTAGAATTTCTTATTCATCTATTTCCAAATCCTATTTTATTCACTTTTTTTAATTTTTAATATTAAAATTTCTGAAAAGATGGTTCTTAAAACAAAGAAAACCACCCATGACCCTGTTTATACCAGCCAGAAAACTGAAATACTTCCCAAACAGGCTGTTGTTATACACTGGAAACCTGTGGAACAGATCTGCAGAAGCTAGGCAATGAATCTTACATGTGTGGAGTACTTGTCCATTTCTTTTGTTCCCTTTTCAGGCTTACCCCCTTTTTATTTTAGTTAATTCTTTCATTATGGTGTACCATACTCATGAAAGCTTAGACTGTTTATGCTATGCAACTTCCCAGTGTATTTGAAGAATAACATGTTTTATTTGCCTGTAAGATTTATTCCAGATAATGTTACATTTGATGATAAGCCAAAAGATGTAGCCTCAGAAGTGAACATAGCTGCTTATAAGCCAAAGTACTTCACATCTGCTGCTATGGGAACATCAAAGGTATCTTTACAGTGTTTTTGTAATGTTTTTCTTATTTGTTTAGTTTTGCTGTCAGCTTATGAATGATATATGTACGGGGGAAAGGATTCCTGATTATCTCCACCATTTCAAAATAAAGACATCAAACATATTAAAAGATTTAAGCATGCTATGAACCCAAAAGTTGCAACCCTGTTTTGGATTTTAAAGGAGATTGGGCTTCTCTGTTACAAATTAAATACTGAATTTTGACCTCATTATATCTCTGTGACAAGTTGCACATGAAATTACTTTGTTATTTACAGTTACATTTTTTAATTTGCCTAAAATGGATGTTAGTGTATAAATCAGTAAGAACTTTTTTTGGTAGTAATGCCAGGCTTCAACAGTTGCTTCCCCTCTTTGTAGCAATTCATTCCTGCTCTGTCCACATGACAGCCAACATTTCCATCTGGCCATGAAGTGAACCAGATTGGAGAAGTGATTAATTGAGTAATAAGCACATTTTTCAGTCAGATCTGTTTCACGTTCTGGTTGAGGGTGCAGTTGCACAAACACTTTCATTGTCTCCATTGCAATCTGTGTGTGATTCCTGCAATGAATGGCTGCTGGAAGAGGAAAAGAGAGGGGTTGGTGGTTGCTTTAACACCAGTTGTCTGCTGCCACAAAGGAAATTTGGCTTGCAGAAGTTTTGTGTTGTGGGACCTGCTGTTACAGGACCATTCAGAGCATGAGATTTCTTCAGTTCTTATGGCTCAAATTCATTGAAACTGACTGTAGAATAAATTCCAAAATGTTATCATTAAATTCACTACAAAATGGTTACTATAGTGAGTTATTGTAGACAGCATTAATAACAGGTTTGTATTGAAGGGAAAGTGTAAAATAATTTTCCCTAAAGATACAGCATTACAATGTTTAGTTTTAGTGTTCCAGCTTCTACAAATGGCATTCTTACTTTTAAGGTAGATATCACATGGGATGAGACAGATCATGAACGAGTAACATCGCTCAACAGAACTTTCAACAAAGAGGAGCTTCTTGACATGGATTTTCAGGCTTATTTGGCTTCATCAAGTGAAGAAGAGGAGGAACAGCAGCAAGGTACTTTGGTAATAAATATACACAAAGTCATTAGCTGCAGGGTTTTGAGTATAGATGATTTAAAGTATTTAAATGTCATATCTATAGAAAATGTTTTGAATGTCATCTCTTTTACAAGGACAATATTATATTTGTTGTATAATGATTGTGCCCCTGAGCTGAATCACTAAAAGGTTCAGACTGGAGGGGACTTTATAGCCCATCTTGCTCCAACACCCTGCCATTGGCAGGGACACCTTCCACGGGACTCCAGTAGCTGCTTTCTGAATAGGAGCTTGCACCTCTGAGTGGAAAATACTTCTCTTGCATTTTATTTCTCCTCCTACTCCCTTTTTCTCCTTTTTTCAGGGTGTCTTGTCAAGTTCAGCAATATCTGCTTTTAATCTGTTCGTTTCTGAGATAAATTATAGGCCCATAGAACTTGAAGTGTTTCCTTTTCAGAAGAAAAGTTCTGGTTTGAAATGCAAGGTGGATAATGACTAAATGAATAGGAATATTTTTCAAATGCTTTTTGATTCACCTACTTCTTAAGAATAGGAGAATTTCATTTAACTTTGCAAGGTACATGAGCCTTCTGCATAGGGTGTAGCAATGTTTAAATTCCTGATTTAAATTGCTTGTTTTCATTCTAAAATTCATACTACTCTTAATAATACATACAGCCTAGATTACAAGGCAAATAAAATTTCATTAAGCCTTAATTAGGTCTCTCAAACAGATGTTAAAACTGATTTATGCAGCATTTAAACAGGTTGCTGCAATCAGAGATGAGCTTGGAGCATGCAAAAAACCATTACATATTCTTCCAGTTATAGAGTTGGGAAATCTTGTGTCAGCAAACTCATCTTGGCATTATCTTGGCAGTGATAATGTCCAATTGTTTCTCACCTTATATAAAAACTCACAAACTGCACAGGAGTGAGCTTTAGTTTCTCTAGCAATGCTCAGTGAAGTCTCTAAAGGGGAGCAGGGGATGCAGAGTAAAGCATTTCCATCTTCTCTCACGTACCAGGTTACCATGATGCTAAAGAAGAGCATCTGTGATAGGGTGATGATGAAAGCAAATGTTCATGTGAACAGCACTTCAGGAATTTTAAAGAGTAAAATTCCTTTGCTGGGAAGGCAAAAAAAAAAAAAAACAACCTTAAATAATCTTATCACACAAATAAATTTTAAACCTGGAAATGTCTAGATTCAAATGATGTTTTGAAAAGTAAGTTACTAATAGAGGAATTATGTTGTCATGTCTTTAATGTGTTCCTGACATTTTATCCATTCAGTTGTGTGATATAAAACAGGATTCCATCTGTCAGGGTTCCATCCAGCAGAATTACGTGGTGCTATGCACAAATGGGAAAAATCAATGTCAGCTGCTTGAATGGAAATGTAGGAGTCTGATAAGGAGGAAAAAATGTCCTGGTCTTCTATTCATACTTTTCAAACTTACTAAAATATTTTATTTATAAACAGGTTTTTGTTGGCCTGTTCTAATACTTTTTTTCCTGGAATTTTTCAACTTAAAATATGTGCATCATGAATGTTAGTATTACTGTTAAACATCAAGGATTTCAGTGACCTGGAATGTTGTAGTTCATAGCACAAAATTTCTCATTACGTTGCTTCTGAATCTTGGGTAGATTTATCCCAGTTAGGAAGTCTTTGTGGCATTCATAAAATCTAGCCCATAATTTCTATTTTGGCGATGAAGACCAGTGACTTAGTGTATGACATTTTAAATATGCTTCAAATTAAGCATTATGGAGTTTATGTCTAAGCTTTTAATCTGTTTTTTTTTTAAATCTTTATGAGAGCAATATCTTTTCTGCTGTTCTGCTTTGGATGGCACACAAATAAACAGACTGTATGATAAAATACTTTCATGGGACTTTTTTTAATTAGCTGTTCTTGATAGAATCATGGAATCACAGAATATCCTGAGTTGGAAGAGACCCATGAGGATCATTGGGTCCAAGTTGTGACTCCAGAAAGGGCAATCTAAAAGTTAAACCTAAGAGCTGTCCAAACACTGAACATCACCAGGCTTGTAGGGAACTCTGTGTAGATCCCTGCTCTCCTCAGCAGGAATCTGAGCAGGAAGCTCAGTCTTCTCTGGTATTTGACTTCCAAGATAAGACTCCACAAAGCCAGTAGGTCTTTTGTGCTGCTGCCCCAATGCCAGAGGTGCACAAGTGCAGAAAAAGGAAATGTAGTGGTTGGGAGGGAAGAATTTTTGTTTAAATAATGCTGCTAAATCTTATTTTCAGTAATTAAGGTTAAATAGAATCAGACTACTAAATCTTTTTACAGTTCTGAAATCTATTTGGTGCAATGACTCATGACTACATATCTAAATTTAAATGCATATTTAGCATTTTATTAGATAACAGTACAGCCTTTTTCTCTTAAAAATGAACAGTATCCACATGTGTTTATATTTGCTAAAGCTATTTCAGAAGGCTAAGAAATGGAGGGTGACAAGTAGAACATGTAGTTAGTTTTTTATTATTGTCTCTGGAAAGAAGAAGCAAGAGGGTTTAGCAGTTTATGCACTGGCCAAGCCTGGGTGGAATTTCATGGGAATTTCAGAATAAAAATACTGCAGCCTGATTATTTTCTTTCCATGAAGCCTCAGAAATTTGATACAACTGATGCAGGTGTTGGATACTTTTCCAAAGCATGTTTGCAGGAACTGTTGGGTTGGCTTTGTTTTGTCATTAAAGGCGCTTGGAATGCCAAGAAGGGTCATGTCAGCATTCCTTCTAGGAAGTTTATATAAACTCTTGGAAGTCTAGGAGTTGAAGAACACATCTCCCTGTGCTCTTGGAGGCTGGTGAGTCCCTACTCAGGACTGATTCTGGCTGCCTGAGTGTTAGCCTTGCCTTAGGTCTGGCTGGCTCAGTGGCATGGCTCTAGTAATGCCAAGTCACCTCTGCACAGAGCTGCTTAAAGGCTGCAGCTGTAAAACACACCTGGTTTGCAAGGGGAGGTTTAAAAACTACACCTCAATGGTTAGACTACACAGACTTGAAGGAAAATGCAGAAAAATCTAAGAAAATGCCATAATTCAATGTTTACAGTTCATTTACTGTTATCCATCTGTTTGCATTCTCTTCTTCCAGTATCTTTTGTCCCTGAAAAATCTTACAAAGGCATGAACTCTGACAGGCTTTGAATAAACTTCTTTTGGTATTGTAAATTTTTCCAATTTTTTATTATCATTGGGATGAATTAATGGGATTTGCACAACTCCTTTTTCAGGAAGTGCTTAGAATGTGGGGAAAATGGGGTTAAACCCCAGTGTTTTCTTTGACATTATTTTCTGGCTCAAGAGTGATGTCAACACATTCAAATTTTCATAGCATGCTGTAGTGCAGTGCAAAAACCTCTGCCTCAGACTTGATTCTTGAACACTGGAGTGTAAAGCTTTTTAGTTTTAATTCTGTGGGTCTACATGCATTGTACGCATTTTGCTTTTTATATTTTATCTATCTAAATTTGAATAACTACACTGGATAGACTTGAGATATTTAGGGCAATTTTTATGGTATGGCCATCAGCATCCAAGTCAGTAGCTGATTTTTCTGCTTTGCCATTACATCATGGAAAGAAAATTTCCCCTCATCTTTAAAAAAATTCAGCTTTGCAGCAGACCTCTTGTCAGATGTTATATCTGCTACAAGTTTTCTACTGTCTTTAGTTTCTAAGGCTAAAGTTTTTTAAAAAAGGAATCATCTACTCTACTATCTACTAATCATCTACTTTACATCTACTATTGTAAGATAATCTTCTTAAACTAAGAATCCAATCTCTGATCTCTTCACAATGCTGTGATCACAAGAACGTGATCTCAGCTAACTCAGTTGCCAGTCACCAATTTAATATATGGAACTTCTGCATTTGGTTATATCTGGTATTAATGTCATCTTTTAAAAACAAATTGTTTTATTGGAATATTTCTGACCAGCCTCATGATTTGAACTTTCTTTTTTTAAAATCTTTAAGCACTTCTATTACTACTTTCTTTCGATAACAATGAGAATATACTTCTATTTTATACTCTAAATTTCATCAGTTTTGCCTTTTTCTGCTTTCTTCTGCAAGGTTGATTGTATTTCTCTTGCAGTGCAGCGGTTAATGCCCCAGAACTTTTTGGTTTGTGTGTTTTGTTCAAAAAGCCTTTGAACAAGCTGTTGGCAGAAAGTATTGCTGCCTTAATATCCAACAGAAAGTGGTTCCTGATGTTGTGCAATACAGCGTGATACTTGAAAGCCACTGACAAGGTTATTTGAACTCTGAACAAACTTTGAGAACATACTCAGCTCACTTTCCTTTCTTGCAGCTGTTGTCAAATGTGCTTTATTTGCTTACAGAATTAAAAGCGCCTACAGTTCTTTTGAAGGCAATGTTGAACATTTGTTTTAAAACTGTTAGTTTTGACAGAAGAATTACAAGTTCTATGTAAATGAGAAAGAATGACAATATGCATTGCCACTTAAATTTCTCCTAGCAAAACAAGTGATAAATATAAACTGATAGCCTCTTGCCTATCCAAGTTCTAGAGATCCTATTTTAGCTTAAGGATTTTTTCAGTTCCCATCCAGTACAGCTTCTTCTTTCTCAGGACATTAGGATGAAGAAACAACCAAATGTCTTCTTTTTCTACTTGTCTTCAAAACAAGAGTTGCCTTTTGCTTTCTGGATGAGCAGATGCTTTCCTCTTAGATCTCAGCTTCTGATGAGGAAAGTGGAAAAGCAGCTGCAGCTGACTTGTCCCCATGTGCCGTGCGAAAGATGAGCCGGCGGGGAACGAGCCCAGCCTGGCTGAACAGAGCTTTGGCTGGAACTTAGGAAAGAAAGGAGGGTTTATGAACTTTGGAAGAAGGGGCAGGCAATTCAGGGGGACTACAAGGGTGTTGGGAAGTTATGCAGTGAGAAAATTAGAAGGGTCACAGCCAAGCTAGAACTTAACGTGGTTAATTATAGAGACAAAAATTGTCTCTATAAAATACATTCTTAATAAGAGGAGAGCTAAGGACGATCTCCATCCTTTACTGGATGTAGAGGGAAGCACCATGACAAAGGATGAAGGAAAGTAGTTAATGGCTCCTTTGCCTCAGTCTTTAATAGTGATGCAAATTCTCTGGGTACCTGAACTGGGAGACAGGATCAAGGAGCAGAAAGAAGCCCCCTTAGTCCAAAGGGAAATAAATGGTCAGTGGTCTGCTGCACCACTTAGAGACACACAAGTCTGTGGGGCCAGATGGGATTCACCCAAGGGTACTGAGGGAGCTGGCAGATATCAAATGCTCACTTTCCGTCATTTTTCGCCAGTTCTGGATAACCAGGGAAGTCTCAGTTGACTGGAAGTTAGCAGATGTAATGCCTATCTACACAAAGGGCTGGAAGGGATGGTTTTGGAGATAGAAGGAACTCCAAAACTAATAATTCTAAAATACAGTGAAGGATTCTGTGTCCAGTCAGTGATTTCCTTTACTGGACAAATTGTCTTTTATCTTTTCAGATACTATTTTTATTTCATCTAAATAAGGGAATTCTTAAACTGGCTACTCTATGGGGTAATAATAGATGAAAATGTTTTGTATTATATTCTGGAAATACTGTGTGTATCTTAGGTTTATTTTGTAAAGATTAACTTCAGTTGCTCACTCTCTTGATGCTCTCTGTGGTAACTCTGCTCTCTCCTCCTAGATGGTGATGTAGCTAATGAAATGGAAGATGACAAACCGAGGAAAAGCCAAAAAGATGATGAAGAGCAAATTGCCAAGTACAGAGAACTTTTGCAAAGTATCCAAGAAAAAGAGAAAAAACAGGAAGAAAAGGATATAGGAATGGAGATTAAATGGGTTCCAGGTAGGATTTATTTTTTTTTTCTTTTGCTGCCTTGGCAGACATGCAGTATTGGTCTGCTGACAGAGATATAGTGTAAGGTGCTGAATTTATAGTAGGAGAAACAAACCCTTTTTTTCCCCCATAAATTGAATTCCAGATTGTTTACAGTGAGAGAAATAGAAGAAATAACATGACTGAGCTCAGTTCCTCAGCTGTAAGTTTATCTTTATAGATTATTTTTTTGCCAGGATTTTTTGTACTTGCTTTTTCAATTATCACTTTATGACGTTTTTTAAGTAGAATTCATGTGTTTGCTATAGAGTCATAAAACATACTTACACTTTCAAAAATGAAAACCAGTATGATTTGGAAACCTAGTCTATAATTAGAGGAGAGTGGTTTGGAAGTGTTGCTTGCATAATGCTAAAAATTTGGGGAAGCAAAGTGGGAGAAATCTGAACTTCCAGAGGAACTGCTCTGGGAGAAAGCAAGGTACCAGGAATGGTTGGGGAACAGTGACATCCAGATTGACATCTGGAAATCAGTGAAAAGTGACTTCACCGTACAGCATCCCGGCAGAGCTCATCTGGAGAGACAAACACCAGTATCTAGTTCTCTCTCTTCTTTGTGGCACAAAGCCACTCAGACTGAATGCTTTCCCTGAGGTGTAATGAGCCAGTTTAACAGCTCACTGCATCCATGAAGGGAAAGGTTTGCACTGTGGCATTGCCTTGATCCTGGCCCAGAGCTCATTCTGACTGCCTGTACTAGCCCTGGTGCTTGCTAGGTCTCTGCAAGCCTAATTTTATTTACTAAAACAGAACTACTCTGAAAAAAAAACCTGGATCCTTTCCACTGAGTTAGAATGTCAGATATGCAGATGTTCAGAGGGTTAAATGTGGAGCTGAAAGACCAGGGAAAGATGACATTCCCTTCTTGGGAGCAGCAAGGTGAAGCAGGTGTGGGACTTCAGCCCATGTCAGGACACAGCCCCATTCTGTTAGTGCTAGTAGCAAGACCAAACACGTACCAGAATCCAGGCCCTTCACTCCTGATGGGTTAATCCCAGCTAGGAATGCATGTCTAATGATGATTTACACAAATATTATTCTGAGTTCACTCAGGTAACTTCTGCTGAATAGAAGTTATGCTTGGTTTGAAGTACTCTGGTCTGTAGCGGTTCATTGAAATGGACTAAACTGAACGGAATAATTTTATTCCTGTTTCTTCATCAGTCCTATATTCAGAAGAATACATGGGCATTCAAAATGACTGTGTGCTTTCAATCATGCTTTTATAATTCAAATAATTTCTGATGTGAATTCTGTCAAAACCTTTTTGAAAAAGCCTGTGTGATGCAGCCAGGACAAGTGCTCACTGACACAGCGTTGTACTCCATCTCTCCACTGCGTGTCAGTACTTGCATTCATGATGTTGCTCACTCAGTAGTTAATACATTGTGTCACTGAGCATTCAAGACAAGGAGTTTTCATACTTAGGTGGCTTTATAAGACTTCTACAGAGATTTGTTGTTGCCACCTTTCACAGTGAAGGTGGAAAACACAGTCAAATCAATTGCTGATAAGAGTGTGTTTTGTATTTATATATGTTTGTATTTAAGTGTTGTTAAAGCAATCCTTTTTGTGTTGGTTTTGAAAAACATGTTTGGAGGTTCTTTTGTTTATTATGCATTCTGGTTTTCGAACAATTTTGCAAATTGTATGAAAGAAGTCCTGTAAATTTAACAAAGTTTGAGCAACTTAATGTGGTAACGTAGTCAGGAATGTAGAGCAAACCATTCATTTTAGGAGATGGAATATTGTTTTAAGGGAGACCAAAAGAAACTCTTTATCCTTGCTTGCCCTGAGAGAGCAAGAAGTTTTCTAAGAGGCTGTCCTTGAGACTGTACCTTGCATGTTATAAGTAAATTGCATTAACATTTAGTAGCAATGGAATATTAACTGTAGTAGAGATGGAATCCAGTTCCCTGCTGCATGGGCTCTGTTTCTTTGCAATGGAACTTGACTTTAGAAAATTGGATTTGTTACATACTTGTACCTAGTCCAACCCCTTCCCTACTGCACCTTTGTGTAGGACTCCTAGGATTTTTGCTACGTCCTTATCTTTTGAGGGAGGAATGGTAAAAAAACCCAAACAACCAAGGAAAACCTCCCCAATCTTGATAAATTTGACTGATTTTGTCTAAGTGTAGCTGGATGTCCATGCACAGGGGCAGGTTTGTTCATATAATTTTAGGTTCAATGTGCATGTGTGCACAATGAATTTTACGTAGGTAGTTTATAGTATTTGATGTTAATTTAGCAACTATGATTTTACAGTATATGTTAGCATTTCCTCATTTCTTACGCTGAAAAAGCGAGAGGTTTATTGAAGAGCTGAGGTTCTGGAAATCATCGAAGTGCTCACTTGCCTTTGTTAGAGACTGTTCACCTCCACAAGGTCAGCGTGCCACCTCTGGCTATTGACCCCTGCAATATGGTTTTGTCCAAAACACAAGTCGTAAAAGTGAAAATGGGCAGCTTAAGTTTGCTTTTGAGTCAAAAATTCAGCTGTTACTGATTTCAGGCAGCATTTGGAGAAGAGGTCCTGCACACCTGAAGGGGATACTCTTTTATATGTGTTTTTTATATGGTGGAGCATAAGCAGCACATGCTGAACAGTAGTTTATAGCTCTGGCAATTTATACACACTCGAGGCTGTGCTTCCTTATGAGAGGGAGGAACGTTAGTTGTTATTTTTTCTTGAGCAAATGTGCTCTTTTTAAATTTCAAAACCATTTATGTTCAGTTGGAGTATTCTGGGCATTCAGAAATAGTTTTTGTTGTAATCTCTGAAGACTCCTTAATTTTTTTCAGAACTAGTTTATGTCTTTTGAAATATTTTTATTATCAAGTTCTGCCTTAATGTGCTTGACTTATTGCAAGATCTTTTTCCTGCCCAAATGTTTAATACATGGAAGAATTACAACAGTTAAATTTAGGAAGTTTTTCAATTGAAAGGCAGATATTTGAATTAATTTAAAATTTTGAGTTTTGGCACAGTTATTTACACATGGTTATGGAAAGCATACTTTGTCAATGATTCAATTATTCTTGAATCATAATAGTTTTAAATAAACGGCAGTGCCAGCAAAAATAAATTAGACGTAGTTCCAACTCTCTTTGGTCTGTTTCTTCTAGGCACAAAATCAGTGTTATGTTTAAGCATCCATCTGTTTTCTTAATCATATCTGATTTAAGCAACAATTGCTATGAGTCCTTATCCGGCTCCCAAAGCTCCCCTTAGAAAGTGAAAAGAGAGAAGACCACAACTGCATTTCTTGAGGATATTCAGCCAGGTTTTTTTGGGGGGGCGGCTTTGAACTTAAGAACTTTTCCTTTGGGAAGAATGAGATGTAAATATTTAGCTAGGCTTAGAGGAAAATTTCAAATTTGTTTTGGTCAGAAGTAGAACAGGGAGGCTGTGGTGTCTGTAAAGTGCATAGTAAAGCCCAACTCTACAGTTAGAGATGATGCAGAGCAGAGAAATGCACCTGTGAAATATTTATCTCCATTTGGGTCATTGCTGAGTGTGTCCCCTGCCTGGAGTGGCCTTGGCTCCTGCAGCACGAAGCAGCATGTGCTGAGCTGTGTGGGCTCACACCTGACAGCTGCTACCCATGGTGGGTTCTCACAGGCACTTTTACTGCTTAGGAAAGCTTGGGTGACTTAACATACTTTGGCTCTGGGGGTAACAAATTCTAGTGATACCAGAGTATTTCTATTTGCTGTTCCTTTCAGCTACCTGCAACAAGGTGTTTCATTATTCTGGTGAGGCATTACACGCAAGATGAACTTGCTTGTTTAGGTTTCCTGAGCACAGAAATGTATCTTTCTAGCCTCTAATAACAGTGACAGTTGCAGGCTGTTAAACCATAAGTTTTCAAAGCTGAGTGTTTGGAGAAGTAAAAATTCTGGCCTGCAGCCATCCCTTGCTGTCCCACCAGTGTGAACTAGAATGTATTTAGGTTTGCTGTAGTATTTACAACACGTTTAATCCTGAAGTATGTTTTCATTGTGTGATAATATAGATGACCTTTTTCCTCTCTTTCCTTGTCCTCATTTGTGAAGATTAAATAAAACTATTGTGATTCATTAATTCTAAAAAAAATACTATATCAACAAGGGTATATACGTTAGACCTTTCTATGGCCAGCTAATGTTTCTACCTAAAGTAGACAATTCCTTTCCCCTTCTGCAATCAAAATCCTTTTGACCACTTAAATACACTCTTATTCTCGGGAAGTGGTCTGGACAGTAGTTTCTAAGCCATTCTAATCTGTGGAGAAACTCTAATGCCTTTCATGAGGCTGCCAAATACCACAAGAAAGGGCTGGATTTTCCTCCAAGTTCTTCAGTGCCAGATGGATCAAATGATTCCATTTTCCAGGCAAATAAATCAGAAATATTGTAACTTCCTTTCAGATTTTGGGTCTCTCTTTTGCTGGAGATGTGACATATATTTTTTTAATTCTGTATTTACTATCTTCAAAGAGAATCTGCAAGGCTGTTACCTGACCAGTAATTTTTTACGAAAAAGTACTACAAAGTATCCAAAGTTACAGTGGTTCAATTTCAAGGAAGCTGATGACTTTGCTTTCATGGACTTTGAAGATAACTAAATATTTGTTCTTGTATGAGTGTTTCTTAATGGCATGTTTTTAGTGAATCTATGCAAAATCCTTCCTTTATCGTGGCTCTGATTTGTTTGCTGGTTACATACCCCATTTTTGTGGCTGTAAGAGAGTTACACTGTTCATTCTGGCACCTTTCCAGAGTAGTAGAAGGATCCTTTATCTTGTTTTTGCTCCACTCTTCCTCCTGTGATTCTATGGTTTAATATGATTTTAGATCTTGTCCACACTTCATATTTCACTTCATAACCAGCTCCCCAGCCTTGGAATTATCTTTTGAGAGTCAACGAGCACAAAAACAGGGATTAGCATTTGCTATTTTTCAGAAAAATGTTCTGCCTGCTCTTCTGGGGGAGAAAGGATGGGATCTAGTCTAGGGTATCTGGAGAGGTCTGAGTATGATTTCTGAGCAATAAAATTGGAATGAGGGGTGGGAGAATAGGATGTGGTCAGGTCAGGGCTGGACTGGGGTGGCAGAAGAGAATGCTGAAGAGAGACCACTAGAGGTAGGACTGGGGAAGAGACAATAAATATCAGGCTTAGAGGGCAAAGCAGAAACAGGATTCCTACAACTCCCAAGATAATTCAGTCACTTAGTGGGAGATGATGTTACCTGTAGGATATCTGACTGATTTGTTACAGAAGTTAAAAAAATGTGTGTAGTGAATGAGGCAAGGAATTGCAGGTAGGAGAAAAACACTTCATTGCCCAGGCTGTTACCTCCTACCAGGGAAGTGGATTCTATTTCTTCCACTGAATTGTGCTCCAGTGCATTGCAAGGCAAGTCACTTAATCTCCTTAGATCATGAATTTTTTTTCCAGTGCCCATCTTGTGAAGAGTGGGCTGAAAGTTTATAAGGTGCATCTGAAAGCGGTTTTCATCCTCGTAACATCCATGTGCTCTGTCATGCAGTGAGTTTTAGAAAATATTCCTGATGTGTATGGAATTTTTTACCAAAATTAGAAGATTGCTTTTAAATGAAGTGCATATTCTGGATTTAAGTATTCTACATGTAAAATGGGAATGCTTCAGTTATTTAATGGATTTATTTTTAAGGTGATGTTCTTACATCATTCAATACTCTGATGATGCATATTTATAGAAAACTTCATTCTGTTCTATTTACAAAATGCTTAAAGGTTAGGACACACTTATCTATGCAGGTGCAAGTGCTGGGCATGGAAACAGTCGATGTCTGTGCTAAATTATGGAATTTAATGGAAACCTGATTAACACATCCAACTTAACTGTCTGGTCCTGTTATGCCAGAATTATTAGGAGCCAGACGTGTTGCACTTCTGTGGGGTTTGCTTTTCTAGGACACAAAATACAGCAGTCAGCAGAGATCCTGCAGCATTGTCAGAGTATTGTCACAGAGGCAAAGCTTCAGCAATGTAACTAATTCAGAATTTTAAGTAATGATAGTGTGGTACATGAAACATAAGGGCTCTGTGTATATCTGTTGGTTTTATTGTGTTACTCATTCTGGCATCTGTAGACTGCACAGTTGAATGCCTGGAGAAGAGACCTTTCTGAGGAACAGCAGGAGTGTTGGGAATCAGATACCACATAGCAAACTCTTCTTCTGACTCTTGTAGTTTTTACTGAAGGAATGTTTTATTTGGAAAAACACAGCCTGTAAAGAGATCTTCTTTATAAAGATGGGTTTTTAAGCAATATTTATGTTGTTTCCACAGACTTGTTGAAGAAAAGCTAGATTGTTCTTTTACAAAGGAGAAAACAGTTGATTAAAACAAATTCAGATTCATCACATTTTTTTAATTTACTATGGCTTTTTTCCTAGGCCTCAAAGAAACTGCTGAAGAAATGGTCAAAAACAGGTTGGAAGGAAAGGATAACCTGACTCCATGGCAAAAATATCTAGAGAAGAAGAAAGAAAAAAGAATGCTTAAGAAAAAGAGAAAGGTGGTTTATATTGGCCATTTGAGGGGGAGTTGTTTGTTTGTTTTCTTAATTTGTTGTTAATGTTTGTTTCAGATAGACAAAACAAATTGTCCAGATGCCAGTGCCATTTTAAGGTTAGAATATTCAGTGGTCCTTCACATGGAAGTACTGAGATTACTCCATCAAACCTACAGAGCAAAAGGATATTCAGCATGCTGCTGACCATACATAGTGCTTCTGTAAAGATAAATTAGTCATAATAATAACTGGCTTTAATTTGCATATTTAATGCATTAGAAGAGGTCTTTTTGCTACTGTGTGCATATCAGTTCCAAGTTGTTATGACAAAGATAATTGTAGGTTTGGAAATTTTGGGGCTAAAATAATACAGACTTGTTTTCCAAAGCTGTAATAGCAAAGAATTAATAGCTGCAAAGAACAACTCAAATTCCAAATTGCAAGAGGAAAAAAAAAAAAGAAAAAAAGCATGTGGCACACAGAATCTGGCTTCTCTAAAGTCTTAAATTACTCCCAATGTAACTCATATTGCTGAATTGCACTTCTAAGAGTAAACTCTACACCTTGAGTTACTCTGTGCACGTCAGTTTTAACTGGCACTTGATGAGTAACTTCTTTAACCTGGTAAGTGCTCAAAGCAGCACTTTTGGGGTAGCAGAGCAGCTTTGTGCAGTTTGATAAATTAAGTCAAGAAGCAAGGTGTATGACACAATACTACCAGTAAGAAAATCAGTTCTTTTACATCTAAACTCCAGCTTTTTGAAATTTGCAGCACAAAATGAACTTTCTTACTCGAGTTTGTCCCCAGGCACAGCTTTTGTGGAACATAAAATAAGGACATAACAGTGCTGATCCTGTAATTTGTTGGAATGGTTGTCTGATGCAGCACACTTTGGGGATATGCATAACAAAAATGTATGAAAGAGGGTTGAAATTGTTGATTTATCTTTACTATCAATTTTTAGTGTGCTCTGGTTTTTTGATGTTCAATGTACAGTATTTCAGTTTTTATTTTCATAGCTGCTAACAGAACACCTCATTCCAGTGAAACTTAAATAATAGTTACATGTTGATTGAAGTGATGTTTGTGGTTTGCTACAGGCTGATGCTGAGAAAGAAGAGAGTGAAGATGAACTTCCACCTGATGTTGATCTCAATGACCCCTATTTTGCTGAAGAATTTGAGAAAACAGGTCAGTCAAGACAGGCAACTTCTAGAGTAAATCTGCCCTTTTGTTAAATTCTGAGTTTTCAGAACAAAGTCAGGCTGGTCTAAACACAGAGATAGAATGTTCAGGATAAAACACAGTATTTGCCTAAAATTGCTGTTCCTGTAAAATTATGCATATTATAATACATGGAATGGTAGGGAATATTCTCTTGGCTTTCACCAGAGATCATCAGTTATCCAGTTTCTGGTGGTGGCTGCTAAAAACAAGCTACTCCCCTATAATTCTGGAGAAAAGAACTCTATTGCTTTTGAAGCATTTTTCTTTTTATATAGAAAAATGAGAAAATATAGAAAATACATATATGGAAGAGCCATATATATATGGATCCCTTTGAAGCTTGGGTCAATTACAAAACTGTCAAATGTTTTTGTATCTCAAAGTTTTCTTTGAGAAGAAATCACTTTTCTCTTAGTCTGATACACATTTTTACTGGAGTACTCTTGGCTGCTTAGGAACCCCAATAGTGAAATGTAATATTTTAGAAAATAACTTGCCCAGTTTAGATTTTTAGGACAACTTTTTTACAAGCTTTTTATTCTGATGTTTAAATTAGCTTTTGCCATGGTAACAGCAAATTTATTTTGAGTAATTTTGCTTAGTAAAATCAATGAAGGTAAGTTTCTGATGTTTCATACTTTTGGGAGACAGATCCTTAGGGTGGCTCATATTACTGTATATTAAAAAAAGAAAAATGACATAAAAACGAAAGAAGAAAACAAACATAAAGAGGATAGTAAGAGATTTACTAATATTGCCAGTCTGTTGTTTGTTTGAGGATTTTTTGAGCACAGACCTGCAGATCCAAGTTCCATTTAAAAAGGATAAGTTACCTTTAATTTTATACTTGCCAGCACAGGCTTCTGTCCTGAATGTTAAAATCTGTTCTAGGATAAAATAAATAACTAAACCCCAAAATCTGGATGATTCTGTGCTTAATAATCTGAAATACAGAACAGTAGAGTGAGTCCTGTCCATGTTTTAGAAAAAAAACACCACAGTCCAAATTGTCGTGCAGTGATGTTTTCTGCCATGCTTTCTGCATGGCTTGTGTATTGGTTGAAATAACTCATTGTAAAGATAACCATTCCTTCCACCAAATTGTTTCATTTTTCTTTAATAGCAAGATTGCCTAGGTGCTCTCATATGATGTGTGATGTTCTCTGTGAAACCTCTGAAAAAATGTTTTCTTCTGCATTATGTGAGAAGTTGTGTCCTAAAGGGGCTCGGCAGACAATGAGCTTATCTGCACATTTTTAAACCTTGTCCATAACATGGAGAATAGACTTTAGTGTTTGTGGAGTCTTTGAGGATAGTTAAATACACATAAAGGTTAAGAAAGTGAAGCTTTTGTCTTCAAGATTACTGATAATTACTGAGATACAGGAGAAAACCAGAACGTGGTTAGCCCTGGAGAAGTTCTGAAGGGACAGTACAGTGTCTGGCTGTGAGCCAGTTTACATTTTAATGGTAATTACACAGCACAACTTTGGCTTTCACCAAGTTTATGCAGAACAGCCTCTGTCTCATAGCTGGGGTTGCTTTTAAGCACAACTTATCCAGCAAGGGAAAATGGGTTACAGTCATCTTTGAACTTGGCTGTAATTCTGCCAACTTTGTATTTAGGGTATAGGCAACTTTAAATGACCATCATTTTTCACAAGCCTTCCACAATTCCCCTGGAAGATTGAAATTTCACCCTTGAATTGACTGTCAGATGAATTTAGATTATGCTGAAAAAGCATATGACAGGATTTATTTGCAGACTCATGTGGAGCAGTGCAGAAGCTGAGGATGCAGTAGTGCTGGATTCATTTGTTGCCTGTAACATGCATGGGTCTTGTGTAGCTTGGTTTCTGCCAAACTGAGGCAGTAGACAGGATGCAAGAGTGTAAGGAGCTGCTAGACCAAGGGCCTAAAAACTCTGAGTGCTGTGAAAGGAAAACTGGATTTTATGGGAAGTCTGCTAAAGCATATGTTCCTCAGGTATGTCTTTTTTCCTGATAACTGTTCCAGATAATCAGGCAGTGATTCTCACACTGTGGATGTGTCACCCTGGGAGAGATGAGGAAGAACAAATTTCTTTGTGCCTGCTGTGCCCAAAAGCTGTCTTGTGTGGGGTTAATGGTAGTACTTGCTTTACACACTTTTCATGTGACTTTTTAATAGTACCACAGGCTAAAATGTCAGATGCTGCAGATACATGAGCCTTGATGATGCATTCTAGAAGCTTGACTATAGTTTCATATTGTCAAGAAAAAAAATAAATTTGTCACTTCCATTTTACACTGATGTCCATACTGTTTCAAAAAGCCTTGTGAGACTTGGGTTTGCCTTGGCCAGTTTCACTGTTACTGCATCAGCTTCTTTGGGGTGTTAGAAAAGGGAGACAGAATGACTCTTACACCCTAAAGTGTTGAAAAATTAATAGCTAAATAGTGTAATTGCTTATTAACATGGGAGCAAGGTCCTGCTTTTGGAGATCACTTTGGAGTTTTAGAACCTATTAGACAGTTAAATATAGTTTCTGTTGAACCTTTGAGGAATTCTTCACACATTATTGAAACTCCTACAGGTTCCAAAGCATTAAATGCCTTCTGGTGATTTAATTTATGATGTATATAGGGATTGATGGCTTTTTAAAGCTGGAATGGAGCAGTATGAGTGCAAGGACCTAAGAACTTAACAACAAAATCAGAGAGTAGTTGTAGAAGCTGTTCTTGAGAGATAAAGTGGATGAAAAGATTAATTTACTGTGTGTCATTGCAAGACTTTTGAGACTAACTCATGTTTCTGACTAAGGCAGAGGTCTTGTGGGAGGAATTTTTGATTTGGGGTCAGTTTCTGTGTCTGAAGTCTCAAAGTTAGGATTAGCTTTTATTGTCAGCTGGGAAGTTGTTGGGCAAAGTTAATGTTGCAAACAAACTTCTTGAGCAGAAAAGAGTTGAATGGCAGCTTGGGTGGGGATTACAGCAGAAACTGGACACTTTTTATACTGGCTGGTGGCAGCTACCAGTTAGTTCTGTGTCACACTGAAGTATCTTCTGCTGTAGGTGGGACAAATCTGATTAAAAGACGGCAGCAGGGATGAAGTGCTAGGAAAAATCTGAGGGCTTGCAATCAGTTTGCCACAAGTGTGCAACCAAGTGTGTGTGGTGGGGCTAGCAGAATATATGTGGGATGAGGGACTGTGGCAGGAGTATGTTAAAAATACAGAAAGTGATGCTTTTGTGAATTTTCAAGCAGAACCATTTTCAGTATGATACAAATTTTTGAGTCCCAAGGGTGATTTTAGGTCCCAAGCTGGTTTTATTAGCTGCATAATGTCAAAGTAAGAAATAAAGGGTTTACTAATTTATTTATTTTCATGGGAAAGAGTTCAGTTTGATACTAATGCCTTGTTTAGCCCCATCTGCATCCAGAACTCTGAAGGCACAAGGATCACTTCTGTGATTCCCCATAGAGTGAGAGGAAGGAAGATCACTTGAATGACTTTCCTTTGGGAAATGGGTGGAAAGAAAAGAAATTTACCAATGTAACTTCTTATATAATTGTCTCCAGTTTTACCTCTGTGCTCCTTTTCTGTGGTTTAGCCACTTCTGAAAGATAGAAAAGATTCCATATTTGTTGAAGTCCTACGGAAGACATTTATTTCTCCCTTCTACACATTAACTTGTGTAGTTTAGGTAACAATATCATATCTGAATCTGATTTTCCTGCACATTTTCTGGAACTACTAAATCAATAGTTTAGTTTTTGAGCTGATGATATTGTGCATCAGGATAGTTTATTTTTTGTGGTGGTGGTTTGTTTCTTCTGGAAATCCATTTCCAGTTTGGAATCCATGTAGAAATAATCAAGGGAATAGTCAAGGCAGAAGAAAACCTTCCTCAAGAAATACATCCTCTTCCAGAGTATCCTTAATGATATAACTTGACATGTGTCTGGCATGTCTGTATTTCTAGTCTGAGTACAAACCTGTCTTAACAGAGTGAAGCCAAATATCTTCCTTAAGAGTACCCAGAGTGGATTGCAGTAAATTGCCTGGAAATGTCATTCCAAGCTCAAAGGTCAGAGTGTGCGGTTCAGGTCAGGAAACCTTCTGCTTTTCCTGCTTTTTCTTGATCAAGATCTACAGGCATCCCAAAGAGAATAATCTGATTTTGTAGGATTTATAAGCAGGTCTGTTTTCATTAGAAGTTTGGTTTGACTAATGTCTTATGCTGTTACTGTTCATTATGTCTGTCTAATCAGCACTGTGTCTCTGGATGCTAAGGGAGTAGGGGAGATTCCTCAGAGCAATATTCACTCTGAGCAGAGTCAATCACAGTTGAATTTCCACTAGAGAAAGCCCTGGGAGTGGTGTGATGCAATGGTTTTGCCTGCTCTATTGTGGTGCTTCTCTCTACTGCTCTAGGAAAAATACAGTAAAACCATGGTTTTGCCTTACTTTATTTTGAATGTTTCTGCCTCCTTAAACTGAACAAGTATTCAGTGGAATTTCATTGCTTAAAGTCTTCTTGGTTTTTCTTAACTTTGCAGCCTTTTTCCACATCTAAATTTAAATACTGACTGCAAGAAAATGAGATGTTCTAGCTATAGGTAAATTATGCCCCCATGCATAAGCTTGGATAAATGTGTTCATGCTCTGTGTTTGCACATAGGTTTAAAGAAGAAGCCAGAATCAGTAGAAAGTACCTCAGAAGATGAAGATGAAGTTGAGAAACAGAAGGTAAAGTGATGTAAAATATTGCATTGCATGAATTCTTCAAGTATTTGGTATGTGTTTGTGAGTGGAACTGCAGAATATCATAGGATGGCAGTCATTTCTACCTCTAATGTGGACAGTTATTATAGAATAAAACTATACCATTTTAATAGTGAGGACTTTTGGAACAAAAACTACGAAGAAGAAGTTTGTGTGTTAGGCAGTGACAAGTTTTATTTTTTTAATATCAGTATTGTAAGAAACATTTGTGAGTTCAAACCTTGTCCTGTATGTTTTAGTCCTTGAAGATTGAGTTACTTGCTATTTTGTGTTTTCATTCTTTCTCAGAACAAGTTAGCTAAATAAATTACTTAAATTCAGATATATTTGTTTTAATTTTGCTATATGAATATCAGTGTTAAATTGTATCCATAAGTTACTTCTAGGCTGTGGTGTACAATTTTCACATGAGATTATTACTGTGTTTGAAAATTGAATGTAGGCATTTGCATTTATTTTATATCTAATTAGAGGAAAATCAGTTTGTATCAATACTACACCTCAACATGTTAAAATAATGTTTTTATGGATGAAATAATACTGCCCTGATGACCCTATTTCAACTAAAATAAATGTAGACTCTTACAGGCTTTATTAATGAGATGCTGAATTTTTAATAGAAAGTTTTCATTGTGTGCATGGACTTTCTTATTTTGTAACAGGCTGAAATGGCCCTACTGATGATGGATGATGAGGATGACACCAGAAAACATTTTAATTACAAAAAGATTGTAGAACAACAGAATTTGAGCAAGAAGAAGAAGAAACTTCTTATGAAAAAGAAAGAATTACTTGAAGATGACTTCCAGGTAATTGTGTACTTCTTGACTTAGTGACAGGAGCAGTTCCAGGAATCTCATGACTTGTGACTTCTGAAGCAGTTCATGTTTTATTGGGCTTAAAAGCTTTCCTGTCATTGGAAAAGTTTACCTAAAATAAATTCTTCTTTTCTCCCTTCAGGTAAATGTTGCTGATACAAGATTCCAAGCCATGTTTACTTCTCCCCTGTTTAATTTGGATCCTTCAGATCCAAATTTCAAGAAGACAAAAGCAGTAGAAAAGATCCTGGAAGAGAAAGCTCGCCGAAGAGAAGAAAAGGAGCAAGATCTTAAGGAGGCAAACAAGGGCCTGGAGAACAAGATGGCAAAGAAAGGAGAGGTTGCCAAGAAAGCCATGGATCCTGCCCTATCAGTGCTAATAAAGTCTGTCAAAAATAAAACCAAAGAGTTTCAGGCACGGAAAAAGCAGAAATTCAACTAACTGAACTTTGTTTTTACTCAGACTTTACTTTAGTCCCAGCCCTTCTAACTGAAGACATCTGTTAAAGTTACTGCAGCCTGCTCTAAGTCATGTCCACCTAAAAAGTCCTGAAAAGTCATTTAACTACGTTGGTGAATTTTGAAGTATTCAGAGTCATCATCACTCTGCACATATGTAAGGAAATGGTCGTTTTGGGGTGGTTTGTTTTGTGTCATGTCTTCTCTTAAAAAAAGTAGAAGTGCTGAAGATGACTACAAAATCATAATTATGGGTTTATTTATAAATAATCAAGAGGTTTATTGCTGAGACTAAGTGGTTTTAAAGTTTTTAATTCCACAGAAGCCTGTAAAACATACCTGTCTTGATAAAGATGGTAATAATATAACTAAACATACCTGTCTTGATAAAGATGGTAATAATATAACTACAAATGAAAGAAATTTTGTATACAAGTTTTTTGTAGATTTTTAAAAGATTGCATTAATGCTTTATTAATTTCTCCTTTAAATACTTGAAGGGAATAGAACTAATTGGTGGAAATATTGCCATTAAGAAGTGTTTCATTAAGATACTTTTGAAATAAACAGTTTAAATCGGTTCAAAAGAATTTTGGGTACTAGCTGTGTTTTTTTCTTTCACACATAAATGAAATTACATAAAAATAAACTTTTTGCTATTGTTATTACATTTCCATGAATATGATACTTGTACAAAGTCTTCCAGCATTGCAAGTGTTAAAAAAAAATAAAAGCAGGGGTGGGGGGAAAGGGAAAAATCAAAGGCAGATCTAGATGACACAATTTTAGAAACCATGTTGTTTGGCCATGTTAGTGCTGGTGATGAAGGTATCAAAGGTGCAGTGAGAATACAGTAAGTAGAAAATGATAACTCTTCCCTGGAGTGTGGCCACTGATTTGTCTTAAGGTTTGCTGTGGGTTGGGGTGTTAGGATGTTTTAAAAGGTTTGCTGTATCAGCTCTAATGGAAATATAACATGGCATTACCAGAAAGACTGAAAACTTTAAGAAACAAAGAGCTGAAAGGTAATTTTAAAGACATAATTTCTGAGGTGTTCTACTAACCTAAACAAAGACTTCTATGAAAACAGGTTAAAATTATAGCTAATCAAAGCCAGTGTTTATATCAAGTACATATGTCTCAGTATGTAAAGGAGATAAGAGAGCAGGATTAGCACATGGGAGGTTGTAGAGTGACCAAAACAGCCAAATGTCTTAAGGAACACAATATACAAATACAGGTGGAGATGGATTTTAGAAGAGTGCTTTGCAGTGATGTGCCTGTGGAATACTTGGCATACTTTGAGAGTTTAAAATGTAATTACTCTTCATAAACATTTGGACATCTTCAGAGTTACTTCATTTTAATACCAGGTTCATAGGGAGTCTTTCCTAACTTTGGTAATTTGTATAGAAGACAAATTTGTTGGGAAATGAAAGGCAAGAACAAAATGCACTGTCTCTTGAATCCTCTGATCCTGCTGAGTTCTACCAAGCATTTCTGTGTTACCGGTGCTTTTATATTCAGCTTGGTGCTTTTGTAACTGGAAATCAACATATGGAATCGGGCCTCTGCTCCTGCAGATTGCCCAGATATACTGAGTGACTCACTGGTTCAAAAACCCTCCACCAGAACTTCTGTACTCCTGCAAGGCCTCTGTCCTTACCACAGATTTTGCTGGAGAAGTCATTGGGAAAATCTGGTTATAAAAATAAAAAGTCACTCATAAAATTGTGAGGACTTCTTATTGAAATTAGATGGTATCAATTATGTTGTGTCTTCACATAGATATGTGCTGGCTACTTTCTCCTGTTACAAAGCCTGGCCTCTACTTGGATGTCACAGCAAGACAAAATACATGAAAAGAT